CAAAGAAAAATGACCAAACCACTTTCTTATCCAAAATTGAGATTGGAAAAAAGTTGTTCTTGATTTTGGAGCTATTTATATACAATGCAAAGAGAGTTGGTTGAACGTTGGTGTGGTGAAAGAAAAGAAAAAAATATTAATATAATATACATTTATTATTTTAGATGTAACGATTCGAAGGGGAAAGAAAAATGTGAGAAAATAGTGATGCGGTTAGGGTTTCAGTCGATTCTGTTATTCATCAAGTAGACATGGGCTAGGGTTTCAGAGAGGAGAAGAGAAAGAGATGAAAAAGAGAGGGACTAAAAACCAAACTTAATTGCTAGAATTGAAAACTAACAGAAACTGCACTAAGCAGCATATTTTGGCAGCACATTATTGAGGCATTTAAATACAGAGGGGCAAAGATTACATTGTCCAAATTTAAACCAACTCATCCCACCAGGCTAACCAACACATTCTCCAGGAAAGGAAAAAGGCTAATTTCCAATTTTTCCCTCCCCCTCCCAACTGCTAGAATTTAAAAACTTACCAAAACTGCAAGGCAGCATATTTGCAGCCACATATTGCAGGGCACTAATACAAAGAGCAAAAGATTACTCTTCTACAAATTTAAACAACTCTTCCAACCCAGAGCTAATACCAACACATTCTCCAGAAGAAAAAAAGGCTAATTCAATTTTCCCCCCCCATCCCCCTGCTAGATTAAAACCTTTTACACAAACTGGGACTAGCAGCATATTTTTGCAGCCACATATTGCAGGGATAAATACAGTGGCAAAAATTACTCTTCTCAAAATTTTAAAAACAACTCATCCCACCAGGGCTAATACCAACACATTCTCCACAAAGGAAAAAGGGCTAATTTCCAATTAAACTTACAGGAAACTGCACTAGCAGCATATTTTGGCAGCAAATATTGCAGGGCATAAATACAGAGGCAATAGATTACTCTTCTCCCAAATATAAACAACTCATCCAACGTTAATACCCAACAACATTTCTCCAGAAGGAAAAAAGGCAAATTCAATTTTTCCCCTCCCCCCCCCCCGCTGCTAGAATTAAAAACTTACACCAAACGGCACTAGCAGCATTATTTTCAGCACATATTGCAGGGCATAAATACAGAGGCAAAAGATTACTCTTCTACAGACTTGAAACAACTCATCCAACCAGAGCTAATACCAACACATTCTCCAGAAAGAAAAAAGGCTAATTTCAATTTTCCCCTCCACCTTCCCCCTGCTACAATTAAAACTTAAAGAAATGCACTAGCAGCATATTTTTGCAGACATATTTGCAGGGCATAATAACAGAGGGCAAAAGATTACACTTGTCCAAATTTAAAAAACTCATCCACCAGGGCTAAACCAACACATTTCTCCAGAAAGGAAAAAGGCTAATTCAAATTAAACTTACACAGAACTGCACTAGCCACATATTTTGCAGCAATATTGCCAGGATAAATACAGAGGCAATAGATTACTCTTCTCCAAATTTTAACAACTTCATCCAAACGGGGTTAAATACCAACACATTCTCCAGAAAAGGAAAAAGGCATGAATTCAATTTTTCCGCCTCCCCCTCCCACTGCTAGAATTAAAACTTTAACAGAAACTGCACTAGCGCAAATTGCAGCAACCATTATTGCAGGGCATTTAATACAGAGGCCAAATATTACTCTTCTCCAAATTTAAACAAACGTCATGCACCAGGGGCTAATACCAGCACATTCTCCAGAAAGGAAAAAGGCTAATGTCAATTTTCCTCTCCCCTTGCTAGAATTAAAACTTACAGAAATGCATAGCAGCATATTTTTGCAGGCACATATTGCAGGGCATAAATACAGATTGGAAAAATTTACTCTTGTCCAATTTAAACCAACTCATGCACTAGGGATAATTACCAAGACATTCTCCGAAAGGAAAAAGCCAATTTCACTTTTCCCTCCCCGCCCCCTGCTAGAATTTAAACTTACCAGGAAACTGACAAGCAGATATTTCAGCACATATTTGCAGGGCACTAAAATACAGAGGCAAAAGATTACTCTTGTCCAAATTTAAACAACCTCATCCACCAGGCCAATACCAGACACCATTCTCCAGAATGGAAAAGGCTAAATTCAATTTTCCCATCCCCCTAACCCCTGCTAGAATTAAAACTTACAGAAACTGCGACTACCAGCATATTTTGCAGCAACATATTGAAAGGAGATAAATACAGAGCAAAAAGAATTACTTCTTGTCCTATTTAAAAACAACATCATCCACCAGCGGCTAATAGCAAACTCATTCTCCAGTGAAGGAAAAAGGGCTATTCAATTTTCCCCCTCCCCGTCCCCCTTGCTAGAATTAAAACTTACACAAACTTGCACTAGCGAGGCATATTTTGCGCACATATTTGCAGGGCATAATACAGGGGCAAAAGATTAGTCTTCTCAAAATTTAAACAACTCATCCACCAGGCGCTAATACCAAACACATTCTCCCAGAAAGGAAAGGCTAATTCAATTTTCCCCCTCCTCCCATCCCCCTGCACAATTAAAATTTAACAGAAAAGCTGCACTAGAGCATATTTGCAGCACATACTGCAGGGCATAAATGCAGAGGCCAAAAGATTACTCTTGGTTCCCAAATTTAAACAAACTCATTCCACCAGGGCCAATTTACCAAACCAACATTCTCCAGAATGGAAAAAGGCTAATTCAATTTTTCCCCATCCCCTCCCCCTGCTTAGAATTAAAACTTACGGAAACTGCCACGTACCACATATTTTGCAGCACATATTGAAGGGCATAAATACCAGAGGCAAAAGATTACTCTTGTCCTAATTTAAACAACTCATCCACCAGGACTAATACAAACACCATTCTCCAGAAAGGAAAAAGGCTTAAGTTTCAATTTTTCCCCCTCCCGTCCCCCTGCTAGAATTAAACTTACACCCAAAGCTGCACTCGCAGGCATATTTTTGCAGCCACATATTGCAGGGCATAAATACAGAGGCAAAAAGATTTACTCTTCTACAAATTAAACACTCATCCACCAGAGCTTACCAAACACATTTCTCACAGAAAAGGAAAAAGGGCTTAATTGCAATTTGCCCCCTCCCCCTTCCCCTTGCTAGAATAAAACTTACAGAAACTGCACTAACAACATATTTTGCAGCACATAGTGCCAGGGCATAAATACAGAGGCAAAAAGATTAGGTTCTTCTCAAAATTTTAAACAACTTCATTCCACAGGGCTAATACCAACACATTCTCCCAGAAAGGAAAAGGCTAATTCAATTTCCCCCTCCCGCTCCCCCTGGCCTACATACAATTTGACAGAAACTGCACTAGCAGCAATTTGCACACTACTGCAGAGGGCATTAAATACAGAGGCAAAAGTACTCTTGTCCAAATTAAATAACTCATCCACCAAGGGGATAATAACCCAAACCACGATTCTCCAGAAAGGAAAAAAAGGCCAATTCAATTTCCCCACATTCCCCCTCCCCATTCAACCTGCTAGAATTTTAAAAACTTACAGGAAACTTGCACTACCAAGCATATTTTTGACCCAGCAACCATATTTTTTTTGGATTTTCTCTCCTTCCCCCCCCCCCCCCCCCCTTTTT